AAAGGTATTATGTGTTTGTGCATTTGTTTTCAACATGGGGAAGAAGGCCCATAGTTGCTTTTGAGGATCTTTATAAAATCACTTTCTTAGTCGATTTATGCATGTCACCCCGTCGTCCATCCATCTGTACATGAATTTTTGTGATCGAAATGCAAGTCCCATTTATTATCCGTTCGAGATGAGATTTTCCAAACAATATTTGTTTGGCCCAAGGACAAATCGTATTGAAATTGTTGAGAATCGGTCCTAATTTAGATATAGTTCCCACATATTAATTGCGCGCCAAATAGCCAAATAGTTAATCAGTCCAGATAACCAAAATTTTGTCAAATCCAACCGAATTCCGTCTAGAAGTAAGTACAAAATCGGTTCAGGTATACCTTTAGCTCCAATATAAGTGTTTTATCCGATTTGGTCTTCAAGTCCTCACATTCGTAATATGCACGGAAATATCTTTGTTTAATTTTATCAAGATCGGCTAAGATTTGGATATAGCTTCCATATATACCTTTATCCAATTTAAGCTTTATTTTGCACCAAATTGCTAATATCAGTCCAAAAAGAGTGAATTGTGCCACATCCGTTCGAATTCAGTCTAGAAGCAAGTACATTAAATTTGGAGAAAATAGGTTCAGATGTAGCTATAGCTCCCATATACAGGAAAAGATAAAAACAAGTAAGCAAAGGCTATAGTCGTGCGGAGCCGACTATGTGATACCCTACAACACTACCATATGTTAGAAGCCCCCTTAGTCTAAATCCATTTTGGAAGATTTCGTTTTGAAATTATACCATAGAGAACTGCCAAGATATTACCCTTAGCATTTTGACCAGGGGCATTTGACCAATATTTACGCACTCCGTCCTGCTGTTAGTTGTTGTGGTCCATTTTACAGCTAAATATAATCCAATGATCATCCAAAATGCTAGACTTTTTCGCTGTCCTAATCTCTAACTTCATGCTAGATTTCATGTCCCTTGGTTTCTATTTGTGACCTTTATAACGGCTGCAAAATCCGGTCCATTCAAATCCCTTAATATATTGCGGACATCTTTAAAAACAATAGGCCTAGCCCTTCTGAACCTAACCCTACCCTCGTGAAGATTTTCGTGAGGATCGGACGATAATTGCAATCTTTATATAAGGTGAAAAAATATTACAAAATATACACTTCAATATTAAAAGTCAAATTGAAAAAATTGCATGCGTTAAAAAATATGTAAAAAATAAAAAAGAAATCGCAAAATACTACATTTTTATTAACATAATTTTTTTAAAAATTTTTTTTAGATTTTATTCTTTTATGCCAACAGTCAAAATCGGTCCAGCCATTCTTGAGATATAAGCATTATGGCTAACATCCCCTTCCTTTGTATATGTACACATTGTATATTTTTCGCTATATACATCCGATATATTTATTATCGGCATCGACGTAACGGTCAGAATTGACCTGCTCGTCTAATTTTCAATTTCGTAAGGATCGGGCCATAATTGCGACCTGTAGCGTGATTACAAATTAACATAGACAGACGGACGGAAGGACGGACATACATAGCTAGATCGACTCAGCTCGGCGGGATAGGAAGATCCATATACACTTTCCTATGTGGGAAACAAGTATTTCGTGGTGTTACATAATTTTTGGCCCAATAAAACTTTTAATACCCCCAACACATAGTGTTGTAGGATATAAGAAGTAAACAAAGGTGCGACCATGTGATACTCTACAACACTGCAATATGTTTCAAGCCGCCTTATGTCCAAATCGATTTTGGAAGATTTTGCCTTCGAAATAATTTCAAAGAGCACTGCCCAGATGTCACCCTTACTCAGTATTTAAGCACCCCGTTGTACATTTTACAGCTAAATATAATCCAAAGGTCATCCAAAATGCTAGCCTTATTCCCTGTCCTTAACTCTTTTGTCATGCAAAATTTCGTGTCGATTGGTTTTCAATTGTGACCGGAAAAGCGATTACAAAATCAGGATTTTTTTTTTTTTGGTTTATTTCAACTATTTCTATTCTGACCCTAACCCTACGCCAATGCAAAATTTCATGATGATCGCATGATAATTGCGACCTATATAAAGTATACTTAAAACATATTGTTGCGGGGGGTAGAAAAACTTTAAAAATGTACAATTGAAAATTGATATGAAATATGACAAAAAATGGAAAAAACTAATAAAAAATATTCACTTTTTCATTAACATATTTTTACGCGATTTTCTTAGATTTTATCCTTTTTTGGCAAGAGACCAATCCGAATTAATGAGAATTGTAAAAATAATTCCAGCGGATCTTGACTTATAAGCAGAATAATGAAGATCTATTTCTTTCTATATATGTAGGGAACAATATACATCAAATTTTAGAATAATCTTAGATTCGGCCAATGAAACCGTCGCATGCTGCCCGAATGTTGCTCTGCGGTATTTTGGCCCATTCCCGGCGAAGCGCTTGCTTGAGGTAATCGACATTTTGGTATTTTTTAGTGCCAAACTTGCTTTTCAAAATACTACAAATACAATAGTCCAATTGATTGGTATCCAGAGATTTTGGTGGCAATTGTACACTGGGAATGAAGCGTCGAAGCTCATTTTGTAACCATTCTTGGGTGGCGCGTGCTGAATGCGATTGAGCTGAATCCCGATAGAATGTCCAAGGTCTGCGGCCAAAATGTTTGCGTGCCCAAGGCTTTAATACATCCGCCAGAATATGTTGGCGATAACATTCGGCATTTATTCTGATGCCACGGTTGATTAATATGAGCGGAAAGCGACCATCGGCTGTTATGGCGGTCCACACCATCACCATGGCCGGCGCTTGAGTTCTAGTGGCCAACCGAAGGTGCACATTTTCAGCTGACCTCTTTGGCAAGTAAACACGATCCAAGCGGCCAAGCGATGCTACTCTTTAGCTCTTTTGAGTCTGTTTTCTTTCTGTTGCGGTGTAAGTTCTCACACTTTTTGGAATATCAATGGTTTTACCCCGAGCTCATTTTTCAATATTTGCCGAAAGGAGCATTGCGATATATTCAGCTCACGAGCCATTTTTCGGCGACGTAGGTTTCGATCAAGTCGCTTATTTACTTTTCGAACCATTTCTGCTGATGTTGCTGTTTTCTCCCGTCCACTTCCTTGACGTCGGACTACGCTACCAGTATCACAGTAACGAGCGATGGTACGAGACACAAAAGATTTATTCACATTTAAATGCTAGAGTGCTCTAACGATAGCCACTTGTGGTTTTCCAATCAAATATCAAGAAATCACACAATCACGCTTGAATTCCATCACGAATAGCTTTTTTTCTGGAAAATTCTCTCCAAAATGCTTTGGAAAAAATGGAATAATTTTAACAGCTGTCGGACGAGTGGCTTAGAAATGAGAGCAGTCTATAGTTGGTTGTAGTTTCTTCATCTCACCCTGTACATTGGACCTATAATTATTTTTTATATTCATTTAGAGAGTGAGGGTGTAGATACGAAAAATTAGTGTCCACATGTTTCATGTTCTTTTCTGGCTGATATAAAATTACCTTTTATAAGCTTAAGTTTCCAAAACTAATAAAAAATGGATGCATTCTTTGGATAGAATTTCAGGGTAATACAAGAAATTATCTCTGGGTTTCCTTTGGGAAGGTACCATCCATAAGAAACACCTTGGTCTGTAAATATATATCGTGGGCTGTTAAAAGAGGACATATTGAATATCGGAAAATGTTTCAAGGGCTTTCTTTGGGACTCACCCCAAAATTCCTGAATTCCTACGGAACATTTTCTGGTGCTTATAAAATAATATTTCTGGATTCCTTTGAGATAATATATCGACATTCTGTAAGAAGAATTAGAAGTCCTTTATAAGAAGACTCCTTGGTTTGACCTTTAACATAAATCTGGTTCGCCTTATTTTACAAAAATATTTTGTAGCCTTCATTTAAAAAAAAAAAATATCTTGGTCTGCTCTGAGGTAAAATTATGGAATTTATAAGAGACTGCATTTTGAACTTTTATATTTGTTTTTTACAAAATTTTTTGGATTCATGTGGGAAGATATTTGGGGCTTACAAAAAATATTTCTCTTGACTTCGTTTGGGAAGACATTTGGATCTTCAAAGAAATAATTATTCTCTACAAGAAGATGAAGCGATTTGTGAGTTGTTTTAAATTTTGGGCACGGCTTTTTAAAATAAGTCTCTTTTGTAGGGAACTTCTGAGCGAAAAAAATCGCCGTTTCCGCGAGAATTAACTCTTTGCCTTTTAATCGTAAAACAGCTCAGTCTGCTATAATTATACTATCTTGAGCTATTTTAATATAAATTCGATTTCTTATACTTCTTTCGGTTTCTGAAGAAGATTTTTGGGGTACATATGAAAATATGGAAATATTATTAAAAAAAAAATCGTAGTCTTTTAGAAACATACGTCCTTTTTCAATTTTTATAAAAAGTCTCAATCCAAAATGTTATGAAAAGTCCCAAGAATACTTGATCATCTATAAGAAAAAATCGATAATTTTCTAAGAAGAAATCCTCGGCTGCAATGGGGAGTTTTATTGAATTTTAATGAGAAGGTTCCTAGATGTTACGTTGGGAGAAAGGTCTTCTAGGGTCTTCTATGAGAATACCTTCTTTCTGATTTTGAGCGATTATCGCAAATTTCAATAATAACTCATATGATAATAATCCTAACTTTACCCGTATGACCCGGCCTGAGAGCGTATACTTGATACCAACACTCATACGCATGGAGGTACTATTCTATTGAACATGAAAAGTTCTAAAACTATTGTTCGCTTTTCATACTGTCATAACATAGACGACTTAACGAAATATCGTTATCCATTAACCCTTCACAAAGACCTATTGTCGTCTCACAACAAATGTCGTATGATATACTTCGCACATTTGAACTCCCATCTCATCTCTATAAATTAAATTCCATTCTATTACAATAATGAACTGATATTCTTTTAACAATTTCATTTCCGGCAGGTACATTATTGAATACCAACGAATCTAGCATCAGCAACAACAGCAACAACAACAATACAACTACAAGATTAAGGCTAAGCTTTCAACTGAATAACAATGTCATAAATGTTATGGAAACCGAACAGGCGAACAACAAAGTGTCATTGTCGTCGTCATTATCAATGGCCACGACACCAGGGCCACCATCACCACCGCCACCACAAACAACAGCAATTGCATCAAAAAGAGTAGAAGTGGAAGTGGACGAAGAAAATAAAAAGTCCAAAGGACTGACAACGTCAACTGCTGCATTAACTATACGGCAACAACGGCCCGATGAACTTTTATCATCACCAGTGCTGGCGTCCCACTCCATTGCCCCGACATCTTCATCTACATCCGAAGCATCAAAATCACCAGCATCACAAGCAGCATCAGTGTTATTGCTGTCAACAACAGCGGCGACGACAACAGGAGCAGCTTTAGAAACCTCAACAGCAACAACATTGTCTTCCATTCAAGCAGACACTGAAAGTGCCCGCACAATAGAAGAACAAAACTTGCACCATCATCATAGTCCTGATCATCCGAACTCCTCTCCTCCTCCTCCTCCTGCCAAAAAGCAACAATATGTTGTTGGACCGGCCACAGACAATGCAACATTAACTGGCAACATGACATCATCAGCAGTAGAAGTAACATTATCAAGACGAAAAACGTTAGTTAATGAAAATGATGGCCAAGGAGACATGTTGTTGTTGCCACACCAGCATGGCCATGCAAATATCGGAAGGACAACAGCAGCAGCTGACCACAAGTACACTTCAGCTGAACATTTATCTAAGTCGGCGGTGTCAACGCCAGAACTGGTCATTATTGCACAACAAATGGAGAAATCGACAAAGAAGCAGAAGAAGAAGACGGCGAAGAAGGAGGAGGAGGAAAACTATTCTGGTCAACCGTCATTAGGGAGAGTTGGAAACGATGATCACCAAAGTCAGTCCATGGAACTTGAATTAATGAAGGTAAATGGGACAATGGCATATGGTTATGTGGCGGCCACAACAACAACAACAGCAAAAGCAACAACAATGAGCATGGTTAATGGTAACCGAATCCAGGATTCAAATGTAAATACTCGAGCTATGAATGATGCTTCAGTTCCGCATGGCCATGACCGGCTAGAGGTAAATGATGGTTATGCCACAGAAATGGTGCTGGTTGCAACACAAACGATTACCACAGAAGCAACATATTCATCTCCAGAAACAACAAAAACAACAACAACAACAAAAGCATCCTTTAAGCACAACACTAACCAAGCCCAGGCACAACCAGCAACAACAACAACAACGAATTACTACCAAAGCCTTTTTCATGAACCCTTGCCGTTACATGACCATACAGCAGCCTTGGTTGCAGACACCATCAGCAGCCGGAGCCAGTACATCAGTTTAATTCGAGCTCCATTGTACACGTCTGTCATGAGGCCCTCAACAGGAACCTCAACAGCCACAGCAAGGCTTGTCGATAAGCCTGCCTCCATGTTAGGGGTGCTGGGCACTTCACCGCTGGTGCAGGGTGAAGAGGCTGCAAGTAAACATCATTCCATTAAAAGCAATAATTCTTCAACCTATGCAAGTACTTTGCATATGGCTGACGAAGAGCACAACTCTGCATCTAATGCCCGAACATCTTCAGCAAATGGCATAACAAACTCACATTCGTCATTGGCATATGGCCGAGGAACAGTAACTACATTAATAACAACAACGTCCAGGCCATCACTGGGATCTGCAGCAGGCTCGGCATCAGCAGCTGCCTCTCCATCAATAACAACCACATTAGCAAATGGAAAATCTTCTGGTGCTTCTGCCAACAATAATATGACAACAACAACAACAACGCCAACACCGAGATCAACAATTCCTACCCCAACACCACCGCCCACATCAAAGACACCGAAACCAACTCGTCGTCGTCCAGCTGCAACGACCACACTGAAGCCACCGCCAACCATAGATGATTATCAAATAGTGACAAGTCAAGCCGGTACTCATGCCTATTTACCCTGCAATGTAAGTACAAAACCAACAGCAACATCATCATCAACCACACCAATACCATCAGCCCAACAACTGTACACACCAAAGGTATTTTTAATGAATTGCATCAGAAGACCACAAATGCTTGGAGTAAGAGATAGAGTGTGTGTGTGTGTGGGGGAGAGAGGAGGGGTAGATGGGGTCCAGTAAAATTTCCTTTGATATCTTTGAACGAATTTACGTATCTTGTGTCTCACTTGAAACACGATGCAATCTAAGTGAATGTTTGGAAATTTACCCCACCCCCCCCCCTTTTTGAAAAAATTGGGTCACAGTTCAACTAATGAAAGTTTTCATAAAATGATTGGGCCATTCAAGAGGATTTCTGTGGACAAAGTACGTTAGAAAGGTCCACTAAAGAGAGAAGATCTGAAGAAACATCATTCCAGTATACCTTTAGAATTTTTCTTAGAGAAAATACCTTTCAGAAGAAAATAGTCTTTTGGAGAGATAGTTAGATTTGGAGAGAAGGCCTCTAAATAGCCACCTAGGAAGGAAAGACCTTCAAAAGAAAGAAATCAAATTTATGGGAATTCTTTAGGAATAAATCGCTTGAAAAATTATTTTATTGAAAAAAAAAAAATTATATACAAAATACGGAACTTCTGCGAACAGAAAAGCGTTTGCAGATCTCTTATGTACATTTAAATCCTTGCCATGGACAGTAGACTCATTGGACCGAAAACCCTTAAAAGTGTTCCTATAGAGATAAGATCCTAAGAAGGTTTTTAGATGAAAACTTGTTTCCTATAGCAGAAGGCCTTCAAATACCCTCCTAGTGAGGAAAGACATTCGAATGAAAGAAAGAAATGTTATGAGAATTTTTTAGATGGAAATCATTTGGAAAGTTCTTTTATTGAAAAAAAAAAAAAATACATCGACAGGCCTTCTGTTAACAGGAAAGCGTTTGCAGATCTCTTATGAACATAGGTCCATTTAAATCCTTGCCATGGACAGTAGACTCATTGGACCGAAACCCCTTAAAAGTGTTTCTATGGAGAGAAGATCCAAAGATGGGTTTTAGATGAAAGTACATAGACTTGTTTCCTATGGACAGAAGACCTTCAAATACCCTCCTAGTGAAGAAAGACCTTCGAAAGAAAGAAGAAAATTTTATGGGAATTTTTAGAAGGAAATCATTTTCTAAAGTTATTTTATTGGAAAATAATACATCTAGAGAACTTCAGTAAACAGACAAGCTTTTACAGGTCTTTTTTTGGACATATGATCATGGAAATCCCTGCCATAGACAGTAGACTCATACAAAATATGTTATGGACAGAAAGCCCTTAAAATTTCTTCTATGAAGACAAAATCTTAAGAAGGTTTTAAATTGGGAGAATTGTAAAGAAAATCTTTTTAAGATTTTTCCCTCTACATATAAAGTCTTTAATGGAGATAATGTATTTAGGAAAATCCTTTGTCGAGCGAAGATTTTTTTTAAATAGGAAGGATTTATTAAATATTCTCCTAAGCAGAGAACAGCCTTAAAATGTTTTATTTAAAGAGATGACCTTCAACAATTCTTCTATGGAGAGAAGACTTTCAAGAAGAAGATGTTCATTTGGAGAGAAGTCATCTAAGTGGTATTCAAACAGTGAAGGCTCGTAATAGCTCTTCAATATAGAGAAGATTTTTAAAAAGCCTTTTGTGAAAAGAAGACCTCTAAAAGGCTAGAAACTGAGGGAAGACATTCAAATAATATTGCAAATGGGAAAACGTTTAAAGTTATTTTACGGACATAAGATCATTGAAATCTTTGCCATGGACGGTAGATTCATACAAAATATATTATGGACCGAAAGCCCTTTAAAGTTCTTCTATAAAGACAAGATCCTAAGAAGGTTTTAAATTGGGAAAATTGTTGAGAAAATCTCTTTAAAAGGTTCTCCTCTAAATATAAAATCTTTATTGGAGATAACGTATTTAGGAAAATCCTTTATCGAGCGGAGATTTTTTTTTAAATAGGAAGGTTTTATTATATAGTCTCCTGAGCAGAGAACAACCTTAAAATGTTTTCTATAAAGAGATGACCTTCAACAATTCTTCAATGGAGAGAAGACTTTCAAGAAAAAGATATTCATTTGGAGCGAAGTCATTTAAGTGGTATTCAAACAGTGAAGGCCCTAAATATATCTTCAATATAGAGAAGATTTTTAAGAAGCCTTGTGTGAAAAGAAGTCCTCTGAAAGGCTAGAAAATGAGGGAAGACCTTTAAATAATATTGCAAAAACAGGAAAACATATAAAGTTCTTTTACGGATATATGATCATTGAAATCTTTGCCATAGACAGTAGATTCATGCAAGTTATGCTATGGACCGAAACACTTAAAACTTCTTCTATGGAGAGTAGATCCTAAGAAGGCTTTAAAATGGGAGAATTGTTTTGAAAATCTCTTTAAAAGTCCCCTCTTTAAGTAAAATGTATTCTATGGAGCGAATGCCTTTACGAAGGTCCTATGTAGAGTGGAGCTATTTAAAATAGGCAGGATTCATTAAAAAGTCCCCTAAGCAGAGAAAAGTCTTCTATAAAGAGATGACCTGAAATAATTGTTGAGAAAAGATTTCTAAGTGCTTTTCTATGGGTTAATGATCCTCAACGAAATTTCGCTGAAGGCGATTTTCATTTGGAGCTAAATAATTTAAATGGTATCCAAAAAGCGAAGGTCCTCAAGGGTTCATTACTTTAGAGAAGATTTTCAACAAGTCTTGTGAGAAGAAAAGGCCCTCAAAACACTAGAAAATAAAAAAAGACTTCGGCGAAAATAGATGTTCTAGAAAAGGAAGAGATAACACAGCCTTGAAAGGTAATTTTCTGGAAAATGTCTAAAAAATATATTTCTTTGGAGGAAAGATATTACTCGGCAGAATGCTTAAATGTCTGATAAAAAGCGAAGTCCAACCTAGCAGCTCTTGAATAAAGGCAAGATCTTTAGCCTTATATGGAGGGAAGATTTGCAGCAGGTCTTCTGGGGAAGGTAGAAGATATAAGAGATCATTTTAAGGAGAAATAACCTCATACAGGTCTCCCATGGATATGACCTTGAATAAATAAGTCTCCTACAGAGAAACAACACTCCATAAATATTCTTTGGAGGAAATATGTTTCTCTGCCTATAAGAAAGAGAAGATCTATAGCCTTATATGGAGTAAAGATATGCAGCAGAACTTCTGGAGAGGGAATATATTCAAAGACGCGGAAAAAATTAGAAGACCTGCAAAACGTACTAATTGGGAAGGAAAAATCCTTTTGAAGGTATTCTTCAAGGAAAATATTTTAAAACGCTCTTCCATGAAAAAAATTCCTAAATCTGGACTTCTATGGAAAATAGCCCATCAAAAGGACTTCTTAAAAAGAAGAAGAAAACCCCTATTTTAGTGCGAGGAGATTCTCAATAGGTCTTCTATGGAGATAAACTTTTCCGAATGTTTTTAAATGTGCGAGGAGATTCTCAATAGGTCTTCTATGGAGATAAACTTTTCCGAATGTTTTTAAATGTAAGAAAGAAAAAAAACAGAAAACCTCGAAATTTCTTCTATAGCGAAGATAGATGCCTTCACAAAGTGTTCTAAAAAGCAGCTGTGTGTGTGTGTGTTTGAGTCTCTACACTACTATTGCATATACTTTGAGCAAGGCTGCTATAGAGAGAAAAGATAGAAGATCCTTTGATACAGCCATGCTCACAATATATGCATTAGTAGTGGTATGAGACTCTCTCGCCCTGCCAAATCAATGGCTAATAAAAATCGAGAGATAATACGCGTGCTTTGTTTATGCTTTTTCGTTTGAAGGTGCTCATAGCTGTTTTGATGGCATTCAGTGGAGAAGATATCTAAAAACGGCATTCTACGGAGAAGAGACGATAACTATATGTAATGAATAGACCTTTAAAATAAGAAATGTGGAGAGTATAGAAAGAGAGTATAAAAGCAGCGCCGCTCAAGAACAAAATCCCGCTCACCAGTCAATTTCTCTTGGCTTGGCAAATCAGTGAAAATTATTATTTATTTCTTATTGTTAATTATTGGCTTCATTAAAGAAAAATAGAATACTAATTTTCTCTTAAATGTTCCCTGTTGACACACACGGTTTTGACCGGTGCTGATAAAAGTCTTTTGAGGAATTAAAAAAGAGAAAACATTTAAAAGGAGAAGACCCTAATTATGCGTGCGAAAAAAGTTTGTTTTTGGAAGGACGAAATTCAGAACTTTCTTTGGCTTTCATAGCGAGAGCAACTTGAATAGGCCTTCCTTGTTAAAAAGGCTATTAAAAGGTCTTCTATAAAAATTACCTTTAATTTCATTGGAACTTCAATGAAGATATTTTTTTTTTTTTTGACAGAAGCCTTCTTTGTTGGTACAATTTTTATGGAGACTTTATAATCCTTGAAATGAGAGAATCTTTAAATGGGGGGAAATGTAGAGAAACAAATGACAATATAAAGAGAATACATTAAAAATGAGATAAAAGTAGAAGATCATGAAAGGGTGAGAAACCAGAGAGAAGACATTCAACTCATATTTTGGTGAGAAGACCTCCAAATGATTTTTTCCATTGTAAAAAGAATATCTTTAAGGGTTCCTCTTTGTTCAGAAAGCCTTTAAAATGTGTTTTAAGGACGATCAGTTCTTCTATGAGGTCAATGCATTTTAAATACTTTCTATGGAGATAATATCTTCACAAAGCCTTAATTGCAGAGAAAGCGGCTTCAGAATGTCATCCGTGGAAAAATATCCTTAAATAATTTTCTGTGAAGAACATACCATTTAAAAGTCACTTATGGAGACTTATGGACTTATGGTCCTATGTAGAGATGAGAGAAGATATTCAAAAAATCTTTAGAACGTCTTCTATGGCCTTCTATAGAGAGAAGAAGATCAACATGTTTTATATGAAGACAAGACTTTCCAAAGTTTATCTGAGTACCAAACAGAGCCGTTTAAAGGGTCTTCTAAAAATAAGATATTTATT